TTCTTCCTCGACCTTACAGATATTGGGATTACAGGCATACACCACTGTGCCAAGCTACTTAATAGTCTCCCTTTCCAAGTATTATTCTTTAAGCACTCACTAGATATTGTGGCCCACAAATAACATGACTAAGAAACTGCACAAGTAAATTGTCTGTCACAATTCTGTCCTGTCCTTTAGGTCAGAGGGAGAGCAGAGCCACACCAGAGAATCTTCCTGGTTTCCATCTTCCGGCCTTACAGGTGATCTGGCTAGCCAAACTCGTATGTGCATAGAACTCTTGAAGTTAGACCTTCACACTAAAGGCTGAGGGTGACGGTATAATATAACCAATGATGAGTGATATCAGGTGTTTCTCAGGATGGTCTCAGTTTTAATGTTCTACCTTACTGACAGGTAACTCAAAAGGAGTATTTTAGGTCTGATGATTCTGTTTGCATACATACAAGCAAATACACAGACATATATAGGTAAATACAAAAAAAATGTATGGATAGGAAGTATGGTAGTCTGAAAGAAAATGACCCCCAAAGGGAGTGGAACTATTAGGTGTGGCCTTGTTGGAGAAGTATGTCACTGTGGGGTGGGCTTTGAGGTTTTTTTGTTTTTTATTCAAGCTCCCCTCAGTGTGACACTTGACTTCCTATTCCCTGCAAGCCAAAATGTAGCCAGCACATCTGCATGCATGCTACCATGCTCCCCACCATGATGATGGTCTGAACTCTAAGCAAGCCATCCCAATTAAATGCTTTCCTTATAAAAGTTGCAGTGGTTATGGTGTCTCTTCACAGCAATAAAACCTCTAACTAAAACAATTTAGTACCAGGGACTTGGATATTGCTGTAATAGGCCTGACCATGTGTTTATTTGGAGGAATTTAGACTGGTAATTTGGGTTATGAAAGCAGTGGAATGTTTTAAACACTGCTTAATGGACTATACTAGTACAAGCATGGAAGACAAGGTAGTAATAGTTATTTGAACCTCTGGGGCTCACTCAAGAGGTTTCAGATGAAAAAAATTTTAGTATGTGTAATGATCTGTTCTGTTCCTTTAAAAGATAAGCCACGCCCACTCCCCACTCCCCCCACCTCTTCCACTGAGGCAGGCAGATCTTCCTTCCTGCTTGCAGCCTGAGTCTCTTTTTTTCTGTCTCCCTCTTGAAGAGGCAACATCTGCCTCTTCCCACTTCTCCCCTTTCCCCTTCTCTCTCTCTCTTTCTCTCTGCCTCTCTGTTCTTCTCCCCTTCTCCCTTCCCCCTCTATAACCCACTAAATAAATATCCAATCTCACTCTGCATGGCATGCCCATCTGTCTGTCTCTTCTCGTGGCCTGCTGCAGCCACTCAGGGAACTGTCTCTCCCTGGGCCTGGCTGCTCTCGAGACCCACTGTTCGCTGTCTGCTGCCACATGGTCCACTGCCACAGCTCGGGGACCTGCAGTGTTTCTGCCACTGCAGCCACCAGGGATTCCCACAGCATTTTTAATTAATCCATTACAGCATGTTGCTTAGAGATCATTCTTGTGATATTTAAGTGAAGAAAGTGGCTGCCAGGTGCCCTTGTCTGAAGAGTCTGCCTGAGGCTAAAGTGAAGAGTTGTGGATTAACTCCATTGAAAGAGATCTCAAAATGGCCTAGTATATACCCTATTGTGTGGATGTTAGTGATAATTCTAATGAAGAATTATAATGAAAAGGAGCAAGCTGAGCAGGGTAAATTTTGAGGAGAAAAAGAGCACCAGGAAGTGGAATGGAGCTAAATCCTATGTTCAAGGAGATAAATGGATTAAGAAATGGAATAAAAGGAGTGGTGACCTCAGGCAAGATCCCACCCTCTTCTGGAAAGAAACTAAAAAGGTTAAGAGCTGGGTGTGGTGGGGCACACCTTTAATCCTAGCACTGTGAAGGCAGAGGCCGGCAGATCTGAGGCCAGCCTGGTCTACAGAGCAAGATTCAGGACAGCCAAGCTTAGACAGTGAAAGACAAAAAGCTGGTGAAGATGTAATAGAACAAGTGGGCCATGTTCCAGCCTCAGTAAGTAGCAGAGTGTTAAGGATAGAAGAAAGGAGTTATCAAGTAAAGCCGTGGAGCCTGACATGTGTTGGGTGTCCCTGAATGGAAGCCTAATAGAGAGGCCATTGAGTGAAGCTATGAAATTGAAGCCTGGATTACCTTGGAGAACCCAAGTTGTTAGAGATGCCGGAGTATTGGGATACCTGCCAAGGAGAGTTACTAACAGGGAATGAAATAAACCCAAGAAAAAAGTGTGCTACAGTCAACACAGCTGAAAGGAGTTGGACATCAGACATGGAGCTGGAGAGTTTAGAGTTTACACAGCTGGTTTGGTCCAGTATTTTCTCACTATGCGCCCTATTCTGCATTTTGGAAGTATGCGATCTTTTTTATTATGATATTTATAAGGGTATTACAATTAAGAGATTGCATGAATCTCTGAAGAAACTTTGGACTTTGAAACAAATTTGAGACTGTTAGAGGCTATGGGAACTTTTGAAGTTGGACTGAATGCATTTTTTTTTTGCATTATGATATGGCTATAAGCCTTTGGGGGCCAAGGAGTAGAATGTGGTTGTCTGAAAGGAAATGACTCCCAACGGGAGTAGCACTATTAGGAGGTAAGGCTTGTTGAAGAAACTATTGTCACTGTGTGGGTGGGCTTTGAGATGTCTTTTGCTCAGTCTTCCTTCAATGTGGCAGTCAATTGACTTCCTGTTCCCTGCAAGCCAAAATGTAGCCAGCACTTTCGTGTGCATGCCACCATGCTCCCCACCATGTTGATAGTGGACTAAGCCTCTGAACTGTAAGCAGGCCACCCAATTAGATGTTTCTACTACATTTGACATTATCATCACAAAGCACTGGAATATTCTAGAGTTTCTTAAGTAGCAATAAAACCCTTATCATGTAGGATGTATCAAATCTTAGTTTGGGCTGGGCATGGTGGCACACACCTTTAATATCTGCACTTGGGAAACAGGCAGGCAGAACTCTGGGAGTTCGAGGGCAGCCTGGTCTACATAGACAAGCCCTAGGAAAACAGGAATAGTGAGGCCCTGTCTCTAAAACAAAATTTTGGAAGTTAGTCATCATACAATGAGGAGATGCCATGGGGAAGCAATGGCAGTTAGTTTTGTTCCACTCAACTTTAATGGTTGGAAACACCGCTAACTTGTCTGTTTTGTCATGACATGGAAATCTGTTCTCTGCTGCAGACATTCTACCAACAGAGGCAGATGGGATTAGCCAGGAGAGAAGGATGGAGCATTTCCAGATAGACATCCCTTTTCCAGGTTTGATCTATGTATGCATATTACTCAAGGATGGACTTCAGTGTCCGTACCCACTAGGTGATATAGGGTTTGAAAATGTTTACTGTTGTTTCTTGGTTTCATTCTGCAGCTTGTTCTCTTGCACTTTATATTTTTATCTCCAAAACATTTTTTTAAAATGTAAATAGTGTGTGTGTGGAGGGGGGTATATCACTAGCATATGGGTGCTTGTAGGACATGTGCCCTTGGAGGCCAAAAGAGTGTGACATCCCTAGAGCCAGAGTTTGTGAGCTCTCTGAATGGACACTGGGGAACCTAGCTTGGGCCTTCTGACAAGCACAAAGCATGCTAAACTGCTGAGCCATCTCTCCAGGCCCTTGAATTTTTTATTAATTTTGTGTATGTACCTGTTCGGGTCAGAGGACAACTTGTGTCAGTTCTTTCCACATCTGTTCTGGGGACCCAGCTAGGTCACTGGGCTTGGCAGCAAGTGCCTTTACCCTCTAAGCCATCTCAGTGACTGTCTTACTTATATCAATGCACAAGAAAGCTTTTAGGTCTTATACTAGGCTTCAGGAGGATAATTATCTCTATATGTACTGCCTTTCCTAGTTTGAAACTAAAGTAGCAGAAATTCTTTGCCTTATGCTTGTGGATAGAGAGGCTAGATAATATACTTATCCTGGTTCATTTCTAAATTTCACTTTCCTTTCCTGTTGCCAATGTTAATCAATATCAACTATTCCTTGTCCTAATTTATATTTATTTTACCTATTGTTTCTTCTACATCCAGTTGCCATGAAATGTTTTGATTTTCCTTTGTCAGAACAATAGGTAGAATAGGTTTCCAGCTTACTAAAGTATGTAGATTAATAAAGAAGAAAAGAATCATAAAAGAGGATACTTTTATGGCTACTGCAACTCTTGCTATTGCAGGTTCTAGAACGATGGAATGAGCAAGTGGAGTTACAGCCTATTGTCCCAAATGAAGCATCAATAAATCCCACCAGTCTGATGCTGGGAACCATGTGTGTGCTGACAGATGCTTACTGTCTTCTGTTTTTTTATTTTTATTTAATTTACTGAAATGTGTTCTGAATCTTTAAATAATAAAAATTAACTAAATCAGAAACCATTTTAAAGTGTGCTGGGCTTGAAATTATGTGTCATACATGGTAGGCAAGAGATCTGTCACTGAACCACACACCCAGCCCTTAAATCAGATGTTAATGGACTTGACTACATTAAATCCCTCAACTCTGATTGGGTGTAGATGTAGCCCATTGGCAGAGTGTCTGCCTACCATACACAAAGACCTGGATTTGATCCCCAGTAGTGCATAAGCTGGGCATGAAGGCACATACTTATATTCAGCTCTTGGGAGGTAGAAGCAGGAGGATCCAGAAGTTCAACAACAGCCATAGCTTCACCATGAGTTCAAGGCAAATCTATTTAAAAAAAAAAAAAAGACATGGTATACACCTTTAATTCCAGCACTCAAAAGTAGCAGAGGCAGGCGAATCTGAGGTCAAAACCAGCCTGGTCTGCAGAGTTGAATTCCCAAACAGCCAAAGATACACAGAGGAAATCTGTCTAGAAAAACCAGAAACACACACACACACACACATGATACATGTGTGTATATATACATAGAGATCTTTAAACCATAGGAGCAGCAAAGTAGAGAAGAGAAAAAATTTTATTTTTGGCCTTTTTTATTTTAGCAATTTGGGGCTTTCACTCTATTTTCAGGTGACTAACCCACTGTTACCAGTGATCCCTAGTGTTGACATTTATTCTAGAACATCATTGAGTTAGAAGACCATGGTCCTTCTGTCCCCAAGACAGATCCTATAAAGAGGGAAACATTTCTTGTTAGATACAGATTGAACCAGTAGCAAAAAAAGAAAAAACAAAAAAAACCAACAATCTCTATCAATCTGGACAGAAAGTGATGTCGTTTGTAAATCCAAACTGTAACATCCCTACCATCCTTCTCTGTCACACAGTGACATTGTTTCAAGACAGGCTCTTACATAGTCCAGGCTGGCCTTGAACTCCTTGATCTTCCTGCCTCCACCTGCCAAGTGTTGTAATCACAGGAACCATGCCTGGCTCATCATACTTTAAAGGTCAAATCCCCAAATTCCCACCTCCAATAAATATATAGACTAATATTCACAATCTGATTCTTAAAATTTTTCAGATTTACCCTGAGACAATAATGAGCAAAGAGGGGATTTCATAGAAATAAATGGTAGAAGGCAGATTGGTTCCAGTATTAGAAGGAAGAAGTATCTGCTTCTGTGTAAGTGACAAGATGAGTAAAAACATCAAACTGGTATGAGGAAATATCTATAACAAAACGGACATTGCAAATCCTAGCTGCAATATGCATGGGTATATGCTCAGAAAGACAGGAACGGGCACAAAGCAGCCTGTATTTTCTGACAGATGGTGGGATTTGGGGTGTGCTGGGATCCTAAGTTGGATCACAATACTTCATTCCATACTAAGTCCCATGTAGATGTGTGGGGTTGAGACATGAAGAGCATACTAAAGAAAAAGAACAAGAGGAGAGCAAGAGCCTTTTCCAGCCATTGTTTACCCAGATCCCTGGTCCTCTCCACACTGAGGCTAGAGAACTGGGTTTATATTAATCCAATACCTTAGTTTGTATCCTGGTCACCTCCCCAGTCTACTGTCAAACTACTATCCTGCCTTGCCCACTCTGAAGAACACAGAGCTTTTAGTTCTTTGTGACAGAGTATTTAAAAAGGGTTTAAATGGTCAATAAGGTGGTTCATCTTTCAGTAACAGACCCTTTTCTTCCTCAACCTCCTGCAGTCCTATATGGCATCATCATCGTCATCTTCCTCCTCCTCTTCCTCACCATCTTCTGGCAGTTCTTCATCCTCTTCCTCCTCCTCTTCATCTAGACAAACTACCACCTCCGCTGGCTCAGACGATCGAGAGCCAAACCAATCCAGCACTTGCTGAGTGCTAAGTCTTGATACCTGACTTAGTTTAAGGATATCAGCTTCCTGCAGCTGCTGGTGGGCTGCCCAGTACCTCTCTAAAGGTCGTATGTCTGGTGGGGGTGGTGGGGCTGGCAGAGGTGGTGTTAAAGGTTGTATGTCTGGTAGGGGCGGTGGGGCTGGCAGAGGTGGTGTCTTGGCCCATTCTTTCAAGGAATGAGTTGATGGTGTGGGAATGGCTGGATCTTGAAAAGTAGAGGTACCAAGTACTGCATTGTCCCGAAACCATTTCAGTTGTCCATGCTTCAAGGCATATCGGGTGTCTCCAAACCATTGAATGATCTCAGGGCGAGGTAAACCAGTGATCTGTTCTAGTTTATGGTAATCTTCTCGTCGTGCCCATTGGCACTGTAGAAAAAAGGATTTGAGGATGGCCAGCTGTTCTTTGGTTTTACGCTTAGTCTTTCGCTGGTGTTGCATATCTGGCGAAAGGTATTCTGTGGGGCCAACCCTACTTGCTACTGAGTTATTTCGTAGCCTTTGGGGCCAGGGTGGTTCTACTTGTGGAGATGGTGCCTGTTCACTAGGCGGGAATGACTGTGGGATATAGCTCAAAGGCTGGAGGGGTTTAGGAGTGGCAGTAGTTCCATTAGCCGATACTTGGAAAGAGGGAGATGGAGGTGTCCCATTAGGTGTGGACTCTTCCTTACAACTACTGACAAGTAATGAGACCGACGGGGGTTTATCCCCAGCACGTGGCTGATGGACAGCGGTGGAATGATTCCAGGAAGCAGTCCCTCCACCACACGACTGATCGGAACCCATTTCTGCATGCTCCTCAGAGAGTCCACTGATCTGAAGATCCTGACAAAAACCTGACTGGTGGGGGAATGCTCTGCTGCCTGTCACCAGAGGTTCCTTCACTTTCTGGTGACTCTGTGGCAGCTGTGGTACCTGAGAGGGTTCCTCAGGCTCAACCTTCAATCCTTTCATCTGGGTGGGCTCACTACAAGCCAAAGGACAGAGTCCAAGAGCAGCCTGCTCTGGGGAGGGCACTGGAGGCATCTCCTGTGGGGGCTGCACTGCATGATGCGTGAAAGCGAGAAGAGATTTGAAATGGAGCTGATCTCTGTGGTACACCACTCGGGCGCGAGTCTCTTCTATCTCTTCAGATGACCAGCTGATGCCACAGCGGAGGCGTTGGGCCATGAACCAGGTCTTTACCTTCTCCATCTGCAGCCCGTATCGCAGGCAGAGGAGAGCAATATCTGCCAGGCTTGGATAGGGAAAGTAGCTGAAGGTTTGTAGCAGGTGTTCATTTCCATCCAGCTCACTGGTTTGCGCTGCTTGAGTCCACACAAGCTGCAGCTCCTCAGAGATTGGAGGGAGGCAGATGAGCCCTGCTGCCGAGCTGTTAAGACTGCTGGTATCTTTGTTAGGCATGGCGTGCTCTGACTTGTGCCCTTCAGAGACAGCTGTAAGAAGAAGAAAAACAGCTCCATCACTGAGGCGCTTCTGGCCCATCTTTTAATTTTTACCAAACTGCTAGACACCAAACAATTTTTTAAAGATTTATTTATTATGTATACACTGTTCTGCTTGTGTACATGCCTGAAGGCCAGAAGAGGGCACCAGATCTCTTTACAGATCTCTTTACAGGTGGCTGTGAGCCACCATGTTGCTGGGAATTGAACTCAAACTTTTGGAAGAGCAGGCTGAGCCATCTCTCCAGCCTCCAACCAAACAATTTTCTGTCTGAATCATGTTGTATTGCTCCTAAAATGCTTCAATCATTTCTCAATTTTCACAATCTTGTCAAGTCATCAGAACCTGCCATAATTCACAGGAGTTTTGGTTTTTTTTCTTTCCCCTGAGAATTCATAGTTCTTTATATGAAACACAAAGTCCATAGAAGTTGGGATAGCTGGGCAGTGGTGGCGCATGCCTTTAATCCCAGCACTCAGGAGGCAAGGGCAGGCGAATCCCTGTGAGTTCGAGGTCAGCCTGGTCTACAAGAGCTAGTTCCAGGACAGCTAGGACTGTTACACAGGGAAACCCTGTCTTGAAAAACAAAAACAAACAAACAAAAAAGGTGTGATAAAAACAACCCCAAGTCATATGACAAAATTCTGTCTTTAGAGACTAAGGAAAAAGATTATCTTCCCAAAGCCTTTGCCTTTCCAATTTCAATTTGCTTCTGAAAGCTATCAGACAACTCTCCTCTTGAAGTTCCTGAAATGGAACAGTACTCACAGATTGAATATTAAACCACAAAAACAGACATCATGCAGTAGTCTCAGAATGATTACTATTTAGTGCTAACAATCTTGAATTGCTCCCAGAACATGGAGACAGGAAAACAGGCTATCAAGTCGGCATGGGCGTGTATACCTACATACAACCTGGTACTTGGTGATTAGGCAGGCATGGGAATGTATACTTACAACCCAGCACTTGAAGGTTAGTCAGTGGCACTAGGAATCCAAGAGTTCAAGGACAGTCTAAACTAAACCCTGCCTCAAACCATACAAAAAGCCAACAAGGAAACAGAATGGGGGTACTACGCTTAGCCCCATGTGTCCGTCCGTCCCCCCCACTCGGGTAGGAAGATTTTGAAGCCAAGATCTTGAAATAAAGTTTATTCCCCTTGGGTTGGATCTTGGGGAGAGAGAAATTTTCTCCCTCAAATCAGCTTACCAGAGGTTATTACTTCTCCAAGTCTCCTCTTACAGCTCAGCCTCTTTAGGGAGCCCAGAGATGAACCCCCACTAACAGCCACTCCAAATGGGCAAAAGGGCTCTCATCTCTGGTCCAGCTTGCTCCTCAAACCCAGGTGGACAGGCTCATTAAACTCTGAGGCTAGCTCCTGCAAGCCCCCCAGCAGCAGCAGCACTGCTTCCAGGGTTATAGGCAAAGGGATCTACTCATTCTTCAATGCCTGTGAAGCAAGCTCCCAGAATATTCTATAGAAATTTTCATTCAGCTCCTTTCTTTGGCATTAGAGAGATTTTAGCTCATCATGGTTTATTCCTGGAGGAATCCCATTGATGTTTGTATTACTTCTGGCCTGTTCAGAATGGGAAAGGAGTCCATGTGAATGCTACTACTGATTGAGACAACAAATTTCAAGTCCACGAAGGGCAGTGTATAAGGAGCTCCTGTTTTCACTTCTTTGGAGACCTCCAGGCTAGGCAAGTGCTGTAACACCAAGAGGTGTTAAACCCTTAGGGGCTTTATTTACTTTAATCTCTAAAAACTTTTTAAATTATATTTTATTTTATGAATGTTTTATCTGTATGTATGTATATGACACATGTGTACTTGGTGCTCTCAAAGGTCAGAAGAGGGTACCAGTTCCCCCGGAACTGGAGTTACAGTTGGATGTGAACTGCCATGTGGGTACTGGGAATGAAATCCAGGTCCTCTGCAAGAGCAACAAGTGCTCTTAACTGCTGAGCCATCCCCACTAGAGGATTACGAAACTTCACAGTCATTTTAGTGTTTGCTTGCCATAGCTTTTAACAGCTAAGTCTAATAGACCAGAGTCCATGGAGACCCTAAAGCAGCACACTTGAAGGCTTCTTTACAGGAGATGAGACAGTCTATGTGGAAGCAGCTTATGAATTCTTGGCTCCTGCTACTTAGCAGTTAGCTCGGAGAAGTTAGGTAAGTCACTGAAACCCTAATGACCCTCCACTTCCCTCCTATGTAAAGAATTCTTCATGCATAGAAAGGTTCCATATTGTCACCAGCATCTACTGTATGTCATGCAGTATCGTCAGAAACAGCAGCTTTTAGAGAGGGGAGGGTTGGGGTATGGCAGACTTGAGATTTCCTGCGATGTCCTGCTTCCTAGGATGCTGTTTGTCTGCCAGGCAATAGTGGCGCACACCTTTAATCCCAGCACTTGGGAGGCAGAGGCAGGCAGATCTCTGTGAGTTCAAGGCCAGCCTGGTCTATAAGAGCTAGTTCCAGGACAGGCTCAAAAGCTACAGAGAAACCCTGTCTCAGGAGAAAAAAAACAAACAAACAACAACAAAAAAAACCGCTGTTGGTCCTTAGCCAAACAATTTCACCCAAGGCTTAGTTTCTTCCTCTCAGAAAATAGAGGTGCCCACCCAGGAAGTCTACACTGGGGTAGAAGCCAGGGTCATCTGGTAGGCAAGCACTTCACCACTGAGCTACACAGCTCCAGGTCTCGTGATTTTATATTCTGTAGTTTAGGGTTTGGATACAATTTCAGAATGGATTTTGCTGCTTTGAGAAAAAAAGGGGAGGGGTCTAGAGAGAAGACTCAGTGCTTAAGAGCACCTGGCCACTCTTCCAGAGGGCCCAGGCTCAGTTCCAGCAGTCCCAGAGGATCCAGTGCCCTCTTCTGGCCGCTGTGGGCATTGCATGGATGTGGTGCACAGACAATAGAAAATAGGGCCATAGGTTAAGTCTCAGGGATAAGGGCACTTTCAGCAAAGCCTACAATTTGATTCCTAGAACACATGGTGAAAAGAGAACCAGCTCCCACAAGTGGTAGCCAAGAAATAGTCTAGTCAGTGTGAAAAGGAGAGCTGACGTAAGAGACTATGAGGTATTGCAGTTCCAAGTCTCAAGCAGCATCTTATTCGTGAGGTCTGCTGTCCTTTATCTTCTCATAGCATAAGCAGTACAATGTACACTATTACAACATCTTAGTGTACAGTCTATATTTTATTCTCACAATCCAACATTGTAGCATATGATCTATATCTGGCTCTCATAATGTACAGAAGTTGGAGCAGAATTCCTGAGATAGAATGTTGGCTTTTAATATTATTATTATTTTGAGACAGGGTTTCTCTATGTAGCTGTGGTCGTCCTGGTACTCCTTCTGTAGTAGACCAAGCTGGCCTCTGCCTCCTGATTGCTTGGATTAAAGGTGTACATCACTATGACTGGCTAGAATGTTATTTTATTTTTTTTAGAATGTTATTTTAAATCAGGACATAGCTGTATAGCTGGTAATCTTCTGGAAGAATTTTTTTAATTAGGGGCATAGTGCAACCAGGATGGCTTATAAGATGGCAAGTAGAGGGCCAGGCATGGTGGTGCACACCTTCAGTCTCAGCACTTGGAAGGCAGAGGCAGGTGGATCTCTGAATCTGAACCCGGCCTGGTCTACAGAGTGAGTTCCGGACAGCCAGAGCTACGTAAAGAGAAAGAAACAGAGATGACATGTAGGACAGAATCTACAACTACACTGTCAGTTTCTTGGGCCTCCATTTTAGACTGGGGCAGAGATGATGGTGATGTATCTATTATGAATATAATCACACCTGCACCTTGTTGCACATGTCAAATACAGTATTCTGCTTAATTGTTAATGTAAATCAGCACATCTCCCCGCCTTCTGCGGCCCAGGCAGAAGGAAAGGACGGGTGCCTGAACTGGCAGCTTAGGCGTCCATTCGCTGGGAGGGGAAACAGGACTGGGGTGTTCTGGGTAAACGTAGGCTTGTACTGAAGTAGAAGATAACGTGGAAAACTAGGTCTGATCCTGCTCAAGTCCCTAAGTCTTTATTCACAGAAGAAACACTGCCTAAGGTGTGTCTGCGTGACGCAGTGGTCAGGGCTGTAAGGACTTTGTAACGTTTCACTATGTGCTTCAGTTGAACTTTTTAGATTATGAACTTTCTCTGGGAATCATATAAAAATGTACAGAGCCGTGGGCTGGAGATGCGGCTCAGCACAGGTTCAGTTCCTGGCACCCGCATTTAATGACTCATAATCACCTGTACTTCCAGTTTCAGGGGATCCACGGCCCTTCTAGCTACCATGGGCTCCTGATCATACAAACTCACACAGGCACACACACATACACGTAAATCAATCTTTTGTTAAAAGTGGCAAACCTTCTGAAAATTATGACTTAAAAAATAAAAGTATGTCAGATAACACTGCCAAGAAGCCGGCTTCAGAATCTGCTCTACAGCACTCCTAATTTAATGAAGGCAGTGTGGTATCTTACTTAAAAGTGAACAGTTTAAACAGTAAATCAGAAAAAAAATGGAAAGAGAAGGAGTCAAGAATGAAGACTGTCGGGCTGGAGAGATGGCTCAGAGGTTAAGAGCATTGCCTGCTCTTCCAACGGTCCTGAGTTCAATTCCCAGCAACCACATGGTGGCTCACAACCATCTGTGATGAGGTCTGGTGCCCTCTTCTGGCCTGCAGGCAACACGCAGACAGAACATCGTATACATAATAAATAAATATTTAAAAAAAAAAAAAGAATGAAGACTGTCTAGAAGGAGCATCTGTGGCAGCAGCTGGGGCGGGGAAGGTGCTAAGTGGTTCAGAAGCCTGGCTGAAGCGACCCACAAGATTACATGAGTAGCACCCGCAGTGTCCTGGCTCCTCAAGGCTCGCTATTCTCCAGTGCAACAATACTGCCTCTATTCAGGTGTCTGTGTGCCTGCAACAGTGTGCTTCTACAACTGCATATGCCCTGCGTAGCGCCCATCTCTGGTTATTTGTAGAATGTCATGAAGCATCATGAAAACCTATTAAAATATGAAAACAAAGTCAACTCAGAAGGCCAAGCCAACTCAGGAGGACCACAAATTTCAGACCAGCATGAGCTAGGGTAAAACTAGATTAAAAAAAAAAATGCTTTGGAGAGACTAATTCAAGTGTATGCATTAAAACCCTGCCCAGTTAGGAGTGGGCAAGGCAACTTCAGAAGGCTGAATTGGGTATGCTCCATTCAGGTGGCTTCCACGTGTTCAATCTTGATTCACTTTGAAGAAAGCCAAACTGGAAATAACACATGATCAAAGTGAGTTGCTCTCATGTAGAGTGGCAGAATAAAATTACCTGGGAAACTTAAAAGGCCACCCTCCTCCCCATTCCCAGCTGGTTAGTGGGCTGGGACACAGGCATTCAGCTTTTTAAAAAGTTCTCAGGGTGCAGTTAATACTAGAAAAGACGAGTTAAACCACACCCAAGATTGGTGAAATCTACTTCCAATTGTAAAGTTTAGGGTATGTATGTATTTTAATTTTTAGATTTCTGGCTTTTGCAATTACTGTTTCCCTATCCTAATACTGTAGCTATAAATGGACTTCAAACACATGACGAAAAGGCTCATAAGAAAAAAACATCGATCTAGGCCATCACTGACTTTCAAGCAAGTCTCAGGCTTGAGTTTTCTTCCAGTTTACAAGTCTCAGATAGGGGCGCAAAACCGGGAACCTGTGAGGACTTTTCGTTTCCTGGTTGGTTGTCTCAGTAAGGCGGGGCACAAGAGTCAGGGGACAGTTTCTTTTAAACCTTTCATTCCCAAGTGGCATTGCTCCCCAGAAGGACGGTCCGGTTGTATAATTAGCGTGTTGAGGTCGCCAGGAGGTAGTCATGGACATGGGGAAGGCCTGGGAGGCAGTCTGAGGGGCCCCCGAAGTGGGTCGGAGAACAAAAAGTTACGACACTTGGAGCGGCGAGCCCCAGGAGGCAGGCGAACCTGCATCCTCGTAGAGGGCGTCCCAACCCAGCCTTCCCTAACCCCTACTGACACTCCTTGGCCTCCGCGGGTTACAACACGGATTCGAAAGTCCAGAGGAGGGAGGGGAGAGGGGACAGAACCCTACGACTTGCAACGGAGGATTCTCCTCCTCCCACAGAATGGGGCTCTGAGGGTCGAGGTTTCGCACTGGCCGGGAGGCAGGCCCAGGGGCTGGGGGGGTCGGTCACTCACCGCGGCGCGGCCCGGGCGGCGGCTCCCAGCCTCGCACCGTGGGCCGGGGCGGGAAAGGGGAAGAGGACAGGGGATCCAAGAGGGAGAGGGGCTGCAGCACGACCAGCTCCCGGCACGCCAGCCGCGCGAAGCCCAGGACCGCCGCCGCCGCCGCCGCCCCCGCCCCTTAAGGGAGGCACCCCGCCCCTGCGCGCCCGGCTCCGAGGCGGAGGAGGGGCCGAGGTCGGGATTGGTGGGCGGGCACCGGCACAACGCACTGGACCGGCCATTCATTGGCTGCGCCGGTCTCGGCCGAAGTCCGCGACTGGCTGCGCGGGCCTAAGCGGGTCTCCGTGGGCGCGAAGGGCAGGGAAGATGTCTTCCAGTGATGGGCGGGTTCAGTGTGTCTTCGAACCGTGTGTTCCCTGCTAAGTTCTTTACTGAACTGCCTGGTCCCCACCCGAGGAAGCCCTTTTAAAATATCCTCTCCCGGTCTTGAACTAGAGCCCAAACGCCGCCAGTAGCGGCAGCCGTAACGAAAGGCTTAAACCCGCCGAGAACGCGCTCAACGTGGATCAGATTTTGGTCCCCAGAAAGACTGTGATCTTAAGAACCCGGAGACTTAGGTCATTTCTGAGGTTAACGTGGCAACAGAGAGTTGTTTCCAGTGATGAAACACTCTGGTTTTCGCTGTTAGGGTGTGATAAGATGTGCTGTTCACTAAACCATTTTCCCATATGGTACGAAGTTCCCGACCAATTTGGGAATATTTAGGATTTCCCATCTTACTTGGGAACCACACTTCTGAAGTGACTTCTGTGGTGGACACTTGAAAAGGCCCAATCTTAACTATTTAGATTACTTAAAAGGCAATATCAGCCAGGCAGTGGTGGCGCACGCCTTTAATCCTAGCAGAGGCAGGCAGATCTCTGTGAGTTCGAGGCCAGCCTGGCCTACAAGAGCTAGTTCCAGGACAGGGACAGGGCTGTTACACAGAGAAACCCCGTCTGGAAAAACCAAAAAAAAAAAAAAAAAGAAAGAAAGAAAGAAAAGGGGGAGGAGGAGGAGGAGGAAGAGGAAGAGGAAGAAGAAGAAAGAAGAAGAAGAAGAAGAAGAAGAAGAAGAAGAAGAAGAGGCAATATCAATCTGTGCTTGTATTCTCAGACCTCACTATTTACTCTCCTTACCTCCTGCCACATGAATTTTCTCTTGAACAAATGGGGGCTGAAAAAAATGACTCAGGCTAAGAGCACATGGTGGTCTTGCCCAGGACATGAGTTAGGTTACCGGCACCTACATCAAAACCACCTGTAACTTCAGCTCTGAGGGATCTGAAGCCCTCTTCTGGACCTTGTGAGCATCCGCATTGACTTGCACATGCTCCCAGGTTGTTGCACACCCACACACACCCCGTTTTAAAAAATAAATCTTAAAAAATAAATGGATATTCACCTCAAATAGGGAACCAAAGACAGACTAAAGAGATGATTCCACCCAAGGATAGGTTGGTGAACTGGACTTTAATTGGGGTTACTTACAGAAGCATGATCAAATTATCAGTGGCTGTGCCCCTCTCCCCAATAAAGTGTCTCCTTCATCCCAACAACTGTTAACAGTTTATATATCCCCAGGGAATGGAGGGAGCCTGAGAACTCCTCCCCAGGCAGCCTGGCGTTTCTGTAGGGTGGGAGTGGGACCTCATGAGCATCCTCCATGACGTGTTAATGGCTCAATATTGTGTGGATACCAGGCAGGTAACCACAGACTACTAAATTCAGGAAGGGGACAATTTTACCACTACATTCCATATGTCCTTTCTAAGAAACCAGGCACTGGCAGGAGAAGAGGAAGGGAAAACTGTGGTAGGTATGTAAATTAATGAAAAAAATTGAATAAAAAGTATGAAAGAAGCCAGGCACAAAACTCCTTTCATTCTTCAGGGCTCCATTCCAGGCAGGATCTGCTTTGATGCTGAGCTATACTGTCTGTGGCTAGTCCATTATCTGCCTCCAATCCCCCTTCACTTAGTAACTCAGTCTCAATGATAAAAGTCATCTATGTCTGCAAGCACTTAGTAAACACATTGTGGGGGCAAACAAGGAAAACAGGTTCCTTAAAGTTAGACACCTTTGATGTGCCAGACCGTGAGCCAGAGCTGTTGATGTTTACAAGACATTCTTTCTCCCTGCATCAAACATCCCCTTCTGTCAGTTAGCAATGGATGCCACAGACAATTTGAGATTGGCTGAGCTGGGGATACACCTAATTTGGGCTTAGTAGGGGAATTTGTGTGGTTTACAGTTATGTCTACCAATAAATTATTATCCCATTGCAGGCATAGCTTCTGGACTGAACTGTCCTCCTATTCATGTTAAAGCAGTGAAGTAGCGTTGGGCAAGTGGTGGCACAACCCTTTAATCCCAGCACTAGGAAGGCAGAGGCAGGTGGACCTCTGTGAGTTCGAGGCCAGCCTGGTCTACAGAGCTAGTTCCAGGATAGGCTCCAAAGCTACAGAGAAACCCTGTCTCAATAACCAAACCAAACAAAAGCAGTGAAACACAATAGTAACTCCCATTTGTATGTTTGTTTGGTTAGTTGTTGTTGTTGTTTGTTCCCCCGAGAGAGGGTTTCTCTGGCTGTCTGGAATTCTCTCTGTAGACCAGGCGGCTTTTCCAAATTTGGCAAAAATATTGGTTTTTGAGACAGGTTCTTGACACTAGCCAAGGCTCACGTGCCAGGTTAGCAGTGAACTCCTGGCAGTCCTTCTCCCTCGGCCTCCTAAAGTGTTGGAATTACAGGCGTGAGCCACTATGCTTGTTCTAAAATTTCCTTATAGCACAATCAAAGGTGTAAAGATAATTTTTGTAATTAGCATAACCTAAAAGTTAACATTATGTTAGAAAACTGAAATCCCTTTGTTTTGGAGTGTTTTTTTGTTTTGTTTTTGTTTAAGACAGGGTTTCTCTGTGTATCCCTGGCTGTCCTGGAACTCCCTTTGTAGACCAGGCTGGCCTCGAACTCGCAGAGATCCACCTGCCTCTGCTGTCTAAGTACTGGGATTAAAGTTGAGCACCACCACTGCCCATCCTCTTTCTTATTCTTTATAGTAAATATTCTTTACTCGTGATATGAAAAGGCTATCAAAGCAGCAGGATTGGTAACAGGCAGCTGCTGCCAAACCTAATCACCTAGGTTTGATCTCATGGAAACCATATGGCGGAAGGGGAGGGTCACTCCTGGAAGGCTGGTTGTCCTTTGCTTCTTTATGTGGGTCTTAAACACACACAAATAAGCCAGGTGTAGTGGTATGGTTTTTTGGTTTTTTTGTTTTGTTTTGTTTTTTCGAGACAAGGTTTCTCTGTGGTTTTGGTTCCTGTCCTGGAACTAGCTCTTGTAGACCAGGCTGGCCTCGAACTCTCAAAGATCCACCTGCCTCTGCCTGGGATTAAAGACGGGCGCCACCACCGCAGGACAATGGTGCATATCTTTAATCCTATTGCTCACGGGGAGAGGTAGGTGGATCTCTGTAAATTTGAGGCCAGCCTGTTGTACATGGCGAGGTCAAGGACAGCCAAAGCTACTTGTGTCAAACAAACAACAACTTGAAAAGTTCTCAAAGATCATGTAACCAAACACATCACAGAAAAACAAATTGCCAGATAGGTCATTCTCATCAGCTTTTTAAAAACTGTAACTTACTTCCATCTTTTCCCCATTCTATAAACGCCCACTTTGTGCCAATTTTGTATTTTTCTTCTTAAAAGTTGTATACTTCAGGGACACAGAAATCTGACTCTGCCCTGTCACCAAATGACTACGCTCAATTTCTTTCCTGCTTTTTTGCATCTCCTAAGAAATGCCAGCGTGGGAGGGAGCTGGAAGGCCGAGCAGTCAGAGCTGCAAGTGTTGGGAATTTGGGGTGGATCTGAAATAGTGAAAGCTATGAAAGAAAGAGTTCAGATAAACCCACCACCAAATACGGAAAGGGGCCAGGACCACAGAGCCCCTGCGCAGCCTCCACCTACCTCTCCCTGGAGGCCTGGCCCTCATGTTGACTCTTTATATCTGGCCTCACTTTCAATACACAGCAAGAGTGGGTGCTCTGTGATGACATCACAACTTGACTATTATGATGTCATGAGGAGGCACACTCCAACGAGGGCTTCCCTAGTAGGTCTGTTGCCTCAGTGTACTGTGGCTAACTCCATGATACCAGTCAGATGTGCGGGAACAGCGTTTATTAAAACCTGGCCCTTTTCAGAGACTTCTTCCCTTTCTAGCTGAGTTCTGTCCAGCCATTCTGGATTAGAAGTCCTTGCTGGTCACCATTGTACCGTCCTTCCTTCGCTTCAGGGTTGCCTTGATAAGCACTGTCCCCCTGCCTGAGGGTTAGAACATAACTTAGGGAGCCCACGAATGAAGAATCCTTACCTAAGAGGAAATAGCTTTTCCCAAGCTGTTCCTTGAACCAGCAGCTAGTGCTGGATGCCAGGGTTTAGTGCTCCAAACTTTCCCATCATCCCATCCTGATTTCCATCAGTGATAGACAGTGATGTGGAAGTGTAAGCCAAATAAACCCGTTCCTCCCCAGCTTGATTTTTGGTCACAGAGTTTCATTGCAGCAATAGAAACCCCAACTAAGACAGGCACTTATGACAAAACCTAAAGATCTGAGTTCTATCCCTGGCACCCACACAGTGAAAGGGGAAAAAAAAACTGATTCCAAAATTATCCTCTGACCTCCACGAGTGCCCTCCCAATAAATAAATAGATAAACAAATAAATAAATATTAAATAATAGCTAGACATGGTGGCTCAAACCTGTCGTCCCAGATGAAGTGAGGATTCCGTGTCAGCCTGGCCAGCCAGAGCTACATAACAACACTCTCTCGGAAAACGAAAGGAAAACAAGAAATGAAGTGGGAAGGGGGTCTCACTCTCAGTCCTCGCCACCATTCACCCAAAGAATACTTCTAAAGAACTTTCTCCCTCGCATATCTATTTCAAATATGGTCTTCCACCAGAAGAGAGGGCAGCTGCATGAAGAAGCTGAAGTGAGGCTTCCAGCTGGCACAGTGCACAGGGCTGCACCCCAGGGCAGAGGGAACTGTCTGAGGTGCACAGGGCTGCACCCCGGGGCAGAGGGAACTGTCTGAGGTGCACAGGGCTGCACCCCGGGGCAGAGGGAACTGTCTGAGGTGCACAGGGCTGCACCCTGGGGCCGAGGGAACTGTCTGAGGTGCACAGGGCTGCACCCCGGGGCAGAAGGAACTGTCTGAGGTGCACAGGGCTGCACCCTGGGGCAGAGGGAACTGTCTGAGGTGCACAGGGCTGCACCCCGGGGCCGAGGGAACTGTCTGAGGTGCACAGGGCTGCACCCCAGGGCCTAGGGAACTAGTGGAGGTGCATGGAGCAAACTCATTTTCTCTTCACATTCGCTACCCAGCGCTGTAATGCCCAGGCTGTATGTTTACAAAGGTCAGTGTTCTTAACATCATCACCCAAAGAAGCTCAAGGCTGACAATAGACACCTACCACACCTACCACTTGAAGAAGGAAGGGGACTAGTGGGAATGGGGAGTGGTAGAAGAAGTAATCTCTTGTTTTTGAGATAGGGTCTCTCTGTGTATTCCTGGCTGTCCTGAAACTATGCAGATAAGGCTAGTCTCAAAACTCAAGAAAGATCCACCAGCTTCTACCTCCCTAATACTGGGATCAAAAGCATGTGACACCACCACCTAGCTTTTTTTTCTCTCAAGATGGGGTTTCTCTGTGTAACAGCCCTGGCTCTGTAGACCAGGCTGGCCTGGAACTCACAGAGAACCGCCTATTGAATGTTAGGATTAAAGGCATGTGCCACCAAGCCCAGCTAAGGAATCTTTTATATTAATTTTACCCTTGCCATAACAATTATGGTGGGTACTGAGATATGGTGGTCAGGAGGCCCAGATGTTAAGTACCATCTTTGAAGCACACTGACAGATTAGGACAGCTGCTGGCCACTTCTGTGTTCTCTGAGAAGGAACCTAGACCCAAGGATCTCTAGAGACAAGCCTTTCGCATTTCTAATGGTGTGTGACTGGCAAGCATCCAGAGGAGTTCCCAACAAATACAAGTTAGAAACAAAGACGTAGGAGTTAAGTTGGAGGTTGAAGGGCTTATTGTGAAAGAAATGGGAAACTGTGTTAAAAAGAAGCTTGGCACGGTAGCACAGCAATCCTAGCCCTCAGGATAAGCAGGAGCATTCCACATTTGAGACCAGGCTGGGCTAAGCAGCAGGACCGTGTTTCAAGTGGAAATATCAGAAAGAGGGAGGCAGTGAAACAAGGACCAGGAGGAGGAGCCCAGAGCTGTTGACTGCAAAGGGCTGTGGGGTAGACAGCAGGGACAGTTAGAGTTCAGCAGGCCGGCCCACCAGATGAGGGACTCCCCGAGGGCAGTGGGGTATACAGTAGGGACAGTTAGAGTTCAGCAGGCCGGCCCACCAGATGAGGGACTCCCTGAGGGCAGTGGGGTATACAGCAGGGACAGTTAGAGTTCAGCAGGCTGGCCCACCAGATGAGGGGGCAGTGGGGTATACAGCAGGTGACAGGTAGTGACTCCCTGATAGGGAGCCCCAGCTGATAAAGGGTCACTGGCTGTAGATAATGGTTGTCTCTGTAATTTTTCTCATGAGCCACATTCTTTCTTCCTAAGAACTGTTGCGGTGTTTTCCCACTGCTTGTGTGTTTATCGCACGTATATAGTTCATCTACTGGACACACATATAGCTGTGGATGGCCGGGAAGATGATTTCTGCTTAACGGCATAATTTTGAATAATAGAAATAATACTAGGATATTTTACTCAGACTGACATGGGATTCTCAGTCATGAAGACAGCCTTTTACACAGACAGCTAATTTTAGACTCCACAAATTCAAAGTAAGCTGGTTGCCCCTGGAGATGAATATCTGGTTGCCCCTAGAGACAAATACAAGGTCATTTTTCCAGGTGTTTTGCTGATTCAGAGTCAGAGCTTGAAGCAACGTTGGTAGATACACAGACTCTCTGCATGCACTCCCCACCACGCTGGCGCCGGCTAATGGCTATTGTTAAGTCTTGAATTCCAGTGTCATTTTCTGTCTGGGAAAGAGCTAAGTGCATGACCAAGGTTTACTCACTGGCCAGCCAATGTGACCTCTCTAGCCTGAGAGAAACTGTATGACTTGTGTTATGAAAATGGGTCAGACCCTGAACATGTAACATATAACTACCCAGAGTTTGGCTGTGGGAGACAGAGCAGAGAAAGGGTATAAACAGAGAGAGAGAGAGAGAGAGAGAGAGAGAGAGAGAGAGAGAGAGGAATAGAGAGCTAACTAGGAAGCTGTGAGACAGAGTTTTCGGAGAGAATTTTTCAAGATGAAGTATAGAGAAACTTACCATCAGAAAGCACCTGTGTTTTCTTATTTTTCCCCTAACTCTCAAATAGATTAAGAATTTTTTCCTGCTGGGCAGTGGCAGCACACACCTTTAATCCCAGCACTTGGGAGACAGAGGCAGGTGGATCTCTGTAAGTTCGAGGCCAGCCCGGTCCCTGGAGCAGAACTGGGAGCTGGCCTTTCAGTGTGAGGTAGGAAGAGCTAGCAGAGAGGTAGGTGTAGGGTGCTTTCTGAAGTCTGGAGGAAGGGAAAGGGGGTTTCTGCTGGGATTCATCAAGGACAGTAGTGTTTTCAAGTGGCACTTTCCAGTGCATGGGGACCACAGAGGAAGTCTCCACCATGGTGCAGGACTCCTAAAATTAACCTGAGCAAGCAAACGGTGAGAGTCGATGGCTGTGGCTCTCTCCCTGGGCATACTCTTCTTTGCTTACTGGCACTGCAAGAAGTATAGGTGAATCATGGAATGAACAGTGTGAGGAAAAAAAGGAATCCCTTCCCCTTTTTTTTTGTAGGTGGTAGGATTTTTTGTTGTTGTTGTTTGTTTTTTTAAGACAGGGTTTCTCTGTAGCTTGAAGCCTGGAACTAGCTCTTGTAGACCAGGCTGGCCTCGAACTCACTGGGATTCACCTGCCTCTGCCTCCCGAGTGCTGGGATTAAAGGCATGAGCCAATGGTAGGATTTATGATTCTGTGACACCAGCCCAATACAAGGTAAGGAAAGGCCAGAGATAGGGAGAATCTTGAACTCACGTACCAGGAAACTGACATCTGGACAGGAAATGTCTTCTGGGACTTTCAAAAGGACACAAGTAACACTTGAGACAGTACATAGCAGCTCCCCTTCCCCATTTCACAAGGTTTGTGGTGTACTGATAGCTTGGTCCAAGGTTCTAGGAATGAGGCACCTATTACTTGTGTGCACAAGGAGGTGCTCAGTCCAGTCCAACCGAGCGGAAGAGAGAAAAGTATCTGCTTACTCTCAAGTGCTGCAGCAGCTCAGTAAAGAACCAGAAGATGCCAGATGGTGGTGGCAGCGCACGCCAGGGAGGCAGAGGCAGGTGGATCCTTGTGAGTTCGAGGCCAGCCTGGTCTACAGAGTCAGTTTCAGGACAGGCTCCAAAGATACACAGAAAAACCCTGCTTCAAAAAACAAAACAAAACAAAAAACTGGTTACCTAGAAGTCTTCTGTTCTTCCATGTAGCTGAGAACAGATGCATAACAGAGCCGGCACCTCTTACAAAGAAAGCTCAGGAGACAGGGGGCCTCTCCCAAACTCAAGTTTACCTGGTCATCCGGGGTGAAAAAAAGGCAGTGCTGGTGTACACTTTTAATCTCAGCACTCAGGAGGCAGATGCAGGTGAGTCTCTGTGAGTTTGAGGCCAGCCAGACCTACAGAGTAAGTTCCAGGACAAGGTCCAAAGCTACACAGAGAAACCTTGTCTCAAAACAACAACAACGACAAAACAAAACAAATAAAAAAACAAAACAAAAAAAAAAGAATTTACTTGGTCAAGGATAATGGAGGGGTAAGGAGGAAAGGTGGTAGCTACCATTCCAGATGGTATGGAGGGTTGGCCTGAGCCAGGAAGGAACCCCAGTGTATGGAAAGCAGGCAGACGGACCCTGCAGACCCTGCAGGCTGGCACAGGAAGCAGCGGGCTAATGTCTGGGGCCCTGGGAGCACAGGAGGGCCCAGCATAATGAAGAGCGATGGCCATTCCCTAAGACAGATGATACATAGCAAAGTTTTAATTTTGTTTTTAGAGAAATAAAAAGACATACCACACAGACTGTGGGAACTTCCTGGGTTCACAATCCTGCACTCTTCAACAAATAACTGAGCCTAGACTTGTTTCTAAAACAAGGATAATAAGTTCAAGTCACAGTCATATTTTTAACATGCATATAAAACACATTTAGCACACGAAAGTTAAACGGGAGCTGTTACTATTGTTAATATGACATAATAGTAACACACACATAACACATTAGGAATGATGTCGTAACAACTGACCCTCAACCCAGTCTCCCTGGGTTCCTCGTTGAAGACTAGCGAGTGCACTGTTTGCTGGTTCCCAGTACAGCGCCTCCCTTGACTTAGCTGACCCTGAAGGTGATGCGTGGGATGCAGCCGACTGTTTTTTGTACAAGGTAATACAGCGCTTAAATGTGCGTTTGTTAGAGAAATGACCGGAGGGCAAAGGAACAAGCCCCAAACTGAATTCTGAATGTATGTGTGTGTACCTGACAGGGGAAAGGTAGAGTGAGAAGCCAGTTACCTGGGAGGTCCTTGTTCAGCTGTAACACTGGGAACATTCTTTCCTCTTTAAAGAGCTGTCAAGGAGACATCTGAGGAACGTAGCTCAATTATGGCCTTGGAGAAAAGGAGTTACAATACCCATCCCTTCTCAAGGGAAAGGGGATGTCCCGTAGGGGCCAACAAGTGCGAAGGGAGGAAAGAATGGCAAAAATGTCCCACATGTTCAAAGAAACAAGCGAAGGGGCTGGAGAGATGGCTCAGAGGTTAAGATCACTGGCTGCTCTTCCAGAGGAACAGCGTTCAATTCCCAGCAACCACATGGTGGCTCACAACCATCTATAATGCAGGCATACATGCAGACAGGACACTGTATACAAAATAAATAAATAAACAAATATTAAAAAGAAACAAGTGAGGGAAGGGAGAAAGACAAGGAAAGGAAAACCAGCAACACCCGACTCTCACCTAGAGCCTCCCTAAGAAGGGCATGAGGTGTGAAGGTGGGTGAGTATTACATTAGACTCCAGGTTTTCCATGTCATTGGCTCAGAATATGGATCCAACTGTCACCTTCTGGTGCCATTTACTCCTCAAACTGCTCTCATTTTTGTTTTCTATTTCTTATACCCATAATCTCCAGAGTTCCAACGTTGTTTCATTCAGGGTCTCCCATGCATCACTCTCCCTACAGCAATGCTCTGCTCCATTTTCTCAGGGGACCCAGGCTAGAACTAGAAGTCTGTGGGGTTTAAGTGCAAAAACCAAATGGCATAGGGTGAACTATGGCTTGGCTGCTACAGAAGGCGCTGAGGCTATGGGCTGGTTATGCTTCCTGTGTCCTGGATCATCCATGCCCCTACACACAAGAAGGAAGGAAGGAAGGAAGGAAGGAAGGAGGGAGGGAGGGAGGGAGGGAAGGAAGGAAGGAAGGAAGGAGGGAAGGAAGAAACTATCCTCATCTTATATCCAAACACTGGCTCACTGTGCTAGGTAAGCCTTGTTTCTTCTTTTAATTTTCCGAAACAGTCTTATGTAGTTCAGGCTGCCATCATATTACCTGGTTGGCCTCAAACTCAACACTCCCTGTGTGTGCCACGATACCTGGCTTGCTGTGGGGGCTTTAACTGTAGCACTGTATTCTCCAATACAGTTTCTAACCTGTACTGTACCAGGAACAGATTATAAAACACCAAAACGGAGCCTGGAGAGCAAAGTGGCTCACACCAATAACCCCAGCACAGCAGAGGCTAAGGGCAGGAGGGCTGCGAGTTGGAGTCAGCCTGGGTTAGAGACCTTGTCTGAAAACAAACAAAGGTAGCCTTAAAGGGCCACCTAACTCAAATCCAATTTCTCACAGAGCAACCTGGAGCCCCCAAAGATAAAATAACCTGCTCAACCGTACAGATACTCGGTAGTTTCCTCTTTTTCAGAGGCACAAAGAATAAATCAGCAGTGATTTTCATGATTCGCTGTCCCTTGACAAAGTCCATAAAGTGCTTCCAGGTCTAAGAAGGCACCCAGAAAAGTAAGGCTGGCATTCATTTTTCTGGAAGCCTGACTATGCAGCCCCTCAGATGCCCCATTATTTGGCTATTATAAAAAAAGGGCAGGCCCGGAGTTAGTTTTGCCACCAACTATATTCTTTACGAGGCTTGCGCGGTGGCTGAAGGACTCTCTCTCCTTGAAGGCCGAAGTCAAGAACTGCTGAGAATCAAGTGAATCCTGTCAAACTGCCAGGGCCCAGGGGGCAATAGTCAAATTCCTGGGGTTAAGCAAGGCAATTTCGGCTCAGATAAAGCTAGGATGGGCAGGACATGGGGACCTGAAGGTGGTAAGGCCAGTAAGAGGGAAGCAATCCGACCGACTTCACACGTCAAGGTTGCTCAGTCCATAATGCTCAATCCGTCCAAGGGGGGCACAACTTCCCAGATCCCTTCTGGCCTCCTTTCTCGAATTCCTTGAGTTCCTTCCACTTACATCCACCTGCCGTTTCCCACCCTAATCTCTCTGAGCTTCGCAGACGGTTTTCAGCCACCTCCGCTTGACTCTCTGGGACGACTCTCCACCCACCTGCCAATTGTGGTCCCCGGGTTCCTGGCGCCACAGCCCTCCCCCCACGCCTGGGTGCCCCTGTGTGGTTTCCCTGCTGTGGCCGGCAGGAGCCTAGTCTCAAATAAAATGGATCCAGCCCTGGGTCTCCGCGGCTCCGGCACCACCAGGATGCTCGGGCCCAAGTAGTGCGTAATCACGGCCGCCGTTGTTGTCCCAGAACTCGCGGCCGATCACACGGTAGCGCAGGGCGAAGAGCAGAGCGCCGCCGACTGGAGGCGCCGGCAGGCGGAAGGAGAAGCGGTCAGCCCGCGGTGGGGCCGGGGCCGGGCCGGCGTAGGCGGCGGGCGACTCCCGCAGGCTGCGCCAGCCGTCCGCGCTCCAGCGCACGCTCACGCGCTTCTCGTAGGCCAGGTCCAGCACGCGCGCGCTCCCGGCCACGCCCAGAGGGCCCGCGTCCGCGCGCTCCAGGCAGATGCGCTGCGCCTGCAGCCGGGCGGCGAAGCCGGGCTCGCGGGCGGGCTCCAGGGCGGCGCGCGCCTCCTGAGGAGAGAGGGCGGGGAGGCAGGTCAGGGGAGGAGTTGGAGCGCGAAGGCCGGGGTCCCGGGGGGGGGGGGGGGGGGGGGGGAGGGGAGGGGCGCCTACCTGGAGGCCGCGAGTGCGCGGCGGGCACGGCGCGAAGTGGCGCAGGGCGTCCCTCTGCAGTTGCACCTGCACGTGGCGGGGCACCCGGGGCGGTTCCCCCGGGCGGAAGCGGCGTACCACGGCCAGCTCCAGCCCCAGCGCGTCGGCGAAACGCACTCGCTTGCGAGTGTCAGGGCTGCGGCTGCGGGCTGCCCGTGCCCCGCTGCCACCTGCGGGCGCAGAGCGGGCCCTGCGCCCCCGATCCCGCACGTGAGCCCGCGAGCGGGCACCGGGCCGGGTCCCGCCCTCTCCCGGCTCCTCCTCCGACTCCTCCTCGAGGCTGGGCCGCTGGCTGCGGTAGTAGGCGCGCTCGGTCAGCGCGGCTATAAAGCTCAGGTTGCGAGGGATGTCGGTGCGCGGAGGCCGCTCGCGGGACATGACAGCCCTGCGCCCCAGCGGGGCCAGCGCACAGTACCCGGCGCGTCCTCGCTCGCCCGCCCGCCTGCTCTGCGGCCGCGCATAAGGTGGAGGGCTGCTTCGGCAGCTGCGGGCCGTGGACTCGCCTTGCAGTCGCCTCGTGTGCTTGGCCTGGCTGGTTTCCTGAACCACCTTTCCCTCCCTTTGGTGGTCAGCCCCCGTGTCTTAGGCTGTCCGTCCTGCCTGCTTCCAGCTGTCTGCTCTGAGCGTGCGCTCAACGGCGCTCACCCTTCGGTTCTGCGGGCCTCGCTGACCCGGCCCCCGCCCACAGCCCTCTGACAGGTGGTTCGGTATCCGTCTTCACTGCTGCACCAGGGGGCGGGACTGAGTCCACCCTTGGGGTCCCAGATGAGTTTCTCCAGTAGTGAGAAGGGACAAAGCGGGGAGGAAAGAAATCTTTCGTTTCCTTGCACAGGAAAGTTCAAAATGTCGAGGGTTTAATTCTCCCCAGACCTCAGTGTTTTCTCAAACCTAGGCTACAGGTTTGGGATAGGGTGTAGTGAAAGAAAGTCCACGAATTCTAGGTAGAGTCGTTCAAGTAGAAAACGTCAAAGGATGAGCGGTGGACATAGGACTGCTATTTTTCATTTTCATTTTTGAAAAATACGCTAGTGACAATTTTACAATGGCATGTAAAATGTTTTCTAATTTCTCTACTGACCTTTTGTCAAAGACTAGTTTCATTTTTTAAGAAATTCTGTGTATGGGGTCGGAGTTTATGTATACCGGAGTGCAGGTGCCCACAGGGATCAGAGGGGGACATCAGATACCAGCTACCGTGGAGCCGGAGTAACAGGTAGATGTGAACTGCTAGAAGCCGGTGCTGAGAATCCACTAGGGCCCTCGAGAAGACTGGCATGTGTTCTTAACTGCCGAGCCATCTCTCCCGCTCTCTACAGGGTTTTATAATACAAAGCACTAGGCATTATTATAGTATTTGTGATTGTTACAAATATTACAGATGAGAAAATAGAGGGAAAAGAGCTGTGCCTAGTGTCGCAGTTACTAACTGTGGAGCTAGGATTAGGGCCTCAGCAGCTGAGCTCTAGTGAACAACATTAAAACTGTTAATGACAATACTAGTATTTTCATTAAATGAAAATATTAACATGTAATATAAAAGTGGAAGTTAGGGGCTGGGAAAATGGCTCAGTGCTAAGAGCATGCACTACTCCAGAGGATCTGATGTCCTCTTCTTGCCTCCGAGGTCACCTGCACTCACATAAACACATAATTAAAATGAAATATATATGTTGGGCATGTTGGTGCACACCTTTAATCCCAGCACTCGAGAGGCAGAGGCAGGAAGATCTCTAAGGCTGAGACCAGCCTGGTCTACAGAGTGAATTCCAGGACAGCCAGGGCTACACTGAGAAACCCTGTCTTGAAAACCCCAAGTAAAGCCATGTGTGGTGGCACAGGCCTTTAATTCCAGCAGGGGGAGGCAGAGGCAAGTGGATCTCTGTGAGTTCAAGGCCAGCCTGTCTACAGAGCAAGTTCCAGGACAGGCAGAGCTGTTACACAGAGAACCCTTGTCTCAAAAACAAGAAACCAACTAAACAAACAAACAAACAAAAAATGAAGGAAAGAAAGAACAAACTCAAAATAAATAAATAAGTAAATAAATAATAAAATGGGACCAGGAATGATCTCTGTGAGTTCAAGGCAGCCTGGTCTACAAAGTGAGTTCCAGGGCAGCCATGACTATGTCTTTTTGAGCCTGTCTCAAAAAGAAATGAAAATACTAGAGTAAAAATGAAATCTCTAAATTTATTTATTTGGGGTGCTGGGGTTTGAACCCAGGGCCTCGAGCATGCTGGGCAGATACTCTCCCACTGAGCTCACGAAGTCTCTAGATTTGTAACAGGATGGTTTAACCAAACAACAGAAGTGCCTCAAGTGGAAACAGAGAGTGAGACCTATGCTGTCTTATTATCACACAGTGAGACCTATGCTGTCTTATTATCACACATGAGACCTATGCTATCTTATTATCACACAGTGAGACCTATGCTATCTTATTATCACACAGTGAGACCTATGCTATCTTATTATCATACAGTGAGACCTATGCTATCTTATTATCATACAGTGAGACCTATGCTATCTTATTATTACACAGTGAGACCTATGCTATCTTATTATCACACATGAGACCTATGCTGTCTTATTGTCACACAGTGAGACCTATGCTATCTTATTATCACACAGTGAGACCTATGCTATCTTATCATTACACAGTGAGACCTATGCTGTCTTATCATTACACAGTGAGACCTATGCTATCTTATCATTACACAGTGAGACCTATGCTATCTTATTATCACACAGTGAGACCTATACTGTCTTATTGTCACACATTCACCCCTGTGTGTGCTTTCACAGCAACATTAAACACAGCAATCCTAGCTAGGACTCATTTTAAAAACCATATTGCGTTTTGTTTCTCACTTCACACAAAAAATGCACGAACATACTTTATGTCTTAAGGTGTAAAATAACTGTACACTAATTAATCTTACAGTCATGCAGTTTAAAGGGATCCTCCTCACACTGGTAAAATAATAACATGTCACTGAAGTAAAATCAAGGAGGTTCCCGGATAGTTGACAACCTGGCGTTTTTGGCAAAGGCTTTGCTGTCCTGTTTACAGTTTGCTGTATCATACCTTGGCTTTGTAGTGTGGGGCTGGGAAGATATAGAGCTTTGAACTAGATATAAACTGCTGTCTGACAATTCTGTTCTGAGTGCTCACACTGACATTCAATCTTTCTTCCAAATCAGTGTTTATTTTTTGGACAGCAACAGCAGTAATCTTTAAACATCTGCCTGGGACTGCTCAGAGATTGGCCAGAGGTGTCAATTGATTCATTTACTCAACACTTACTGTTGGCTTATTTGAACATGAAGACACAAATTTGAGTAAACCACAGCCCTGGCTGTCAAAGAGCTTAAAAATCAAAGGTCAGACAGAAACATATTAGGGTCTCTTAAGGTCAGCAACAACAGCAAAGTCAGTGTGGGGTGCAATCCTGTAATCCCTGCACCGATCAAGAGGTGCAGGTAGAAGGTTCATCAGGGTTCTCTTCATCAACACAGTGAGGTCAAGGCCAGCCTGGACTACGCAAGACCTCACGGCAAAACACAGCCACAAAGTATATTCATGTCAGGTAAATGTCTTATAGTAAACCATATTGCAAATGAAAGCCTCAAACTAGACCTGCTTTAAAAACAGTGTGTGTGTGTGTGTGTGTGTGTGTGTGTGTGTGTGTGTGGTGTCTTGTTGGTGGCACCTAGAATGATCACTCCAAGAACAAAGGAGAAATGAGTATGGGTGGAAGGATATAACTATGAAAGAGTGGAATATAGGCTGTATGTTCACAGTCAGAGAACTGAGTAAGAACTCGAGTAAGAACTGAGTTCGAGGCCAGCCTGGTCTATAAATCCATTGCTGTGGATTCTAACTATAAGAGCAACATTGACTGCCAAAGGGATGAAACGGTCATTTTAAGACAATACACTGTCAAAGTTCAAACTTATGGGTTAGACTGATGCAGATTTAAGTCCTAACTGCTCTCCTCAGTGTGTGGATTTGGGCAAATGATTTAACCTGTCCAAACAACCCTCAGTTTCCTTTTTCATGGAATAAGGGCTAAGCAACTTCGAGATGATGTAAGAAGAAAAATTACACACGTAAAGAAAGTGCTGTGGCTTGCCTGTAATGACGCCAGTCTAGAAAGCTGGCAGAGACAGGTTGTGAGTTCAAGGTCAGACTCACCTACGAAGGAGAGAGAGAGACAGAGGGAGAGTTCGCACAATGCGTTGCTGCTACCCTCACTGTAGCTTCCCTGATGGCTGCACAAACGGGCGCCCAGGCTAATGGGAGAAGCAAGGCAATCAACAGAACTGAAGCGAAGCAGCACAGTTGGGTTGCCTCCTTCTGGTCTCAGCTAGACGGGGTTTCCTTTAGTTTTGCTTTGCTTTTCAGGACAGGGTTTCTCTGTGGAACTGTCCTGGAACTCGCTTTGTAGGCCAGGCTGGCCTCGAATTCACAGAGATCTGCCTGTCTCTACCTCCCATGTGCTGAGGGTGATTTAGACCTTTAATCCTAGCAGATCTGAGACAGAAGCAGGCAGATCTCTGCAAGTTCGAGGCCAGCCTGGTTTATAAAGTGAGTTCCAGGATAGCCAGGGCTACACAGAGAAGAAACCCTGTCTCAAAAAAACAAATATAAACATAAATATATATCCGCGTATAAGGTAGATACATGTAATCTGTAAAACAGGTATTAATCTTAACGTTGGCAACCTGCATTTAGGGAGGGTGGGTATGATTAGTAGGCGTGAGTCCATTTGTGCCTTTGTTTGACCCTTTTAAATAATGAGAATTAATTCATGTGGTGGGCAAAACATAACGAAAATCAATCTGATTACAAAAGACGAAGGGTGCTTGTGGACGCTGCAATGCAAGGCCTCGCGCCCTGGTGCCCAGCTGAGGCTCCAGTCCAGGGAGAGCCCACTGCATTAAGGGTCCGGAGGGAAACTGGGTTTCTGTTTCGTGTCTCTTATAGTCCCACAAGGGTAAGGTGCTGTTCCCAGGTTAAAGGGGACTGTTCTTCTTTCCCCAGGCATATAATCCAAAGCTTGGAAGTTCAACAAGTGTATGAACAGGACAGACCTTCCGGAAATGCTGAATTTGCACCGAGATGATGGGGCCGGGTGTGTTTCTCTGGCTACGCTGCGGGCTCGGCAAGCAAGCCGGCAGGCTCCGGTCACCATGGCCTCCGAAGTGCGTTTCAATGGCCCTCTCTTCCAGGAGTTGTGGCTCTTCCCAGCCCTGCCTCCCAGCCCCGCCCCTCTCTCTGGACGCGTCTCTGGGTCCCATCATCACCCGGCGCCGGGCCCTCCCTCCTGGCCCCCCCTCCCTCTCGCCCCCCCCCTCCCTCCTTCCTTTCCTTCCCTTCCTTCCTCCCTCCCTCCTAGTTCCTCCACCAGGAAACAACCGGATCCGGATCCCGGCTGCGGCCTGACCCGTGAGATTCCCTAACCTGGCTGGCGGGCGGGGTTGGAGACCAGCCACGGGTGGGAGAAAGGGAGGAGCTGGGCCTTTGGGCTGCACTTGGGGGAACCGGGAGTAGAGATGGTGTCGGCAGGAAGCCCGTGGACCCGGGTTTCCCA